CGAGGAAGCGAGGGATTTTTCACAGCTCTTTCTTCCTTCCCGCGACTGATACGCCGTGCAACGTTCTCCTCCTCCTTTTGTTCTTCTCCAGAAAAAACAATGCGATCTAATCGAACGTGATTTCGTGCGAGACGACAAAAAACGAAGAGCAAAGTCCACGCGATCGATCCCCCCGCGCGCACCCCGACGCCACGCGACCCCGGCGTAAATCCGCGAAACACCGTGAGAAACGGCCGATCGGCAAGCTCTCTGATCTCTTGGCGCGTCCGGCGGGGCGAGACGGCACCTCTAACCTTTAGCCACACACCCTCGGCATAACTTAACATGCGCACGACGGGTGACAACGAGCCGGCGATATCCAGCTCCACCCTGATGAAAGTCACGGGGTCACCCGCCACTACCGCCACTTCCGTCACTACCACCACCACCGCCGCTACGCAGCACCCCTAACATTTTGTTGCTCCTAGCCTTCTTACGTAACATGCGCACTAGGGTGACAACGTGGTTATTTCGCTGGCCCGACGAGTGCGTCATGCTCATTCTCCGACGGAGCACATCTCGGGTTACGCCGGGGGTCCCCTCCTACTAATCATATACGCGTTCTCCATTGACCAGCGGCTCACCGCACCAACCACCACGTCCAACGTGCATCCTGCACTCTCGGCACCTCTCTGCTCGCAGGCGGCAGAGGCAGGACGTACTTAGATTCGGAACGTAATCGGTGCACAGGTGACATGTCGCCGCCCTCGGACAATGTAATCTTCGACAACCAGTGCTACGCTACCACGCCGAGCTCGTCCAACGGCAACTCCGACATGGAGCAGTCGAACCACTGCAACTCACGCCGCTGCAACGGCGGCCAGACATATCAGCAGAGCATGCAGTCGGTCTCGACGCCGGGCAGTCCGACCAGCCGGCTGCTGCTCGAATACGAGATGCACCTCAGGAACACCTTGGCCAAGGGCATGGATGCCGAGAGCTACAGTCTGCGCACCTTCGAGGCTCTGCTCACGCAGAGCATGGAGAATCTCGGTGAGAGACCACGCTCGTCAGAGGGAAATCCCGATCTCGCTATTTTCGCCAAGAACGACGCGCGCGAAGTCGGTATTTTTATAAGTTCCCGATTAATCTCGGCCGCGGGACTCGTCGATGTAAAGACCAGATCTCTCTTTCCTTCTCACTCCCCTCTCTCTCTCTGCTTTTGTTTTTTTATTATTATCGGTAATCACACTTCTCTTTATATTACTTTGTTTTATATTATTTTCCATTTTCTCCCTTTCTTTTTTTGTCTATTAATAATTCTCTTTGTATCCTTCTTACATTGTAACGCTCTTAGGGGACTCAATCTTACTCAGGGTATGAATAAACATATTTCTTTCTTTCTCTCTTTCACACATACACACGCACATTCAATGTCTCTCCGCCTCTCGTTGATTGGAAATTCCCTATAAATTTCGTACGTAGCGAGAAGAACTGTTGTTTTAAGTAATCGTTGTTGCGGAATTGAGAATTTAATCATGTTACGAATGTGTCGCGAAAACTTGACGAGCGGGTGACGTTTTCGAAAAGAGAGGGAGAGAAAGAGAGGGAGAGAGAGAGAGAGAAATCTGATGAAAATGAATTCAAACATTTCCCACGCTGCGGCGAATGAAATTTCGCGAGGATGAATTTTCTGCCGTTCCGCGGCGACCGCGGGGAATTACTAGCCGCGAATCTATTTCCCCCGGCGCGTAAAGCACTTTATCTCGCCGACCCTTGTTCTTTTCGAGCCCGAACGGATTAATTAAACTTTAACCTTTCCGATTTATCAGGCCGATAAAAACTACGAACTCTGTAATTCGTCGTAAGGAACTATCGATTGACAACAAACGCGATTTCCGGTATCTTCGCTCGCCGGGGCGAGTTATATTCCGTTTCTCTTTCCAGAATACGCGGAAAACCTGCCGTTGAACGTCCAACGCACACCTCACGTTTCACGAAGACGTAAGTAGAATCCCGCGTCATCGTAGAAACCGCGAGCAGCGCCCGTGCGAGTGCCCGCTAACCCGAATGTCATCACGATCGCAGGTTCCAGTTCCAACAAGTCGTCGACCCTGCCGCTGTCGTATCGCTACTGCAACGAGAGGCAGAACAGCAAGGACCGAGACGGCTATTACAGCGACCGCAACGAGATGGTGCGAGAGAAGAGAGAGCGAGACTCCGATCGAGACCGCGGTTATCTCAGCGACTACAACTCTAGGTAAAAGTCGTTGCTGAAATCCTCCTTAGATTCCGCCATTCACCCGCCGATCCACCTCCTATCTGTGTGTCTTGCTTGAACGCGCAATTGGGTGGCGCAGAGAGCGAGCGAATCGCGGCCGACGACGTCCACCTTCAAGTCGGACTCACATCGCTTCGTGAAAGTTTCCGAATATTTCGAGTATTTCTGGCGTGAAAATCGCAATGTCGAAAAAGAAATATCGCTCACGATCCAGACACTACGCATTTCCAGATGAAAGCTTGAAGACGTCGGAAAGAGAGTAAGACGTCTTTTACAGAAGTCTGCGCTGTCTGGGCAAGAAATATCTAAGAGATGTCTTAAAGACATCTAAAAGACGTTCTATTTCTCTTCAGATATCTTTCGGAGGTCTTTTAGAAATTTGTTCTGCCTGAGAGCCAAGGTTTATTTCACGTAGCTACGAGAAATTCGCGAAGCAGCATCTCAGATCGAACGGAAAATCGTGATAATCGTCGAAATGATGTCCAAATGGCGAGAAAGGGACCGCATCACGATCGAGAAGTGAATTATTATTATAGTCATTTTCTCATCATTCCTACATCATCGTGACATCTTTTGTGTTCTGCTTGGAATAAAATAAAGTATATTATCGCGTTTACAAGATTTTGGTTTTTTTTTTCATTTTCTGGTTAACTTATGATTTAGACTTAATCTGATGATAATGCAAAAATTGTTTTTCTACAGAGAAAAAAATTAGTCTTAAATCAAGAATAGATATTCTTATATATAAGCAAGAATATTATAATCTTCTTAAAAGATTTTTAATCTTAATTCGATTGAGTTTGTATTTATACAAGTATTACTCGATTCAGGACTAAAAATCTTCTAAGAATATTATAATAATCTTACTTTTATATGAAAATATCTGTCTTGATTTTTAAGATTAGTTTTTTCTACATATTCATGGATAATTATTAAACTGATGGTTTTGCAGTGGCAACTTTTAAAGCTCAATGACTAACCACGAGAGAAAAACATAATTTTCACATTATTATCAAGCTAAGCTTAAGCCGCAAGTTGACTAGAAAATGAAAAACCGGGCGTTTGGCCGGTATTTATAGTCAGATTTTATATTTAGGACCACCTTAAGTTCATCTTCAGACGCATTGTGGTAATGAAACGATCTGTACAGTGTCTGAGGATAAACTTAAGACGATCTTAAGTGTAATATCTGACTATTAATACCAACCTTTATCATCCGCTTCAAATACCCGGTGATTTTCGGGAATAAACATAAGGCCTTTCGAAGTGCCATCCCTCTCGGACCAATGCAGCGTGAAAGAGCTCGGGAAAATCCTGACGCAGGGGACTATATATAATGCGCATTTAAGTGGCATCTACGTCACTCTGACGTCCATCGGACATCCCACGGATCTCTCTCGGGCTGTCGAACGACTCTCGTCGAATAACGAAACCGCGGTATCCGCGCGAAAACGTGCTGGCGGAGCTCGGCGATCGTCTCGATTCGACCGAGGTCACCACGTGAAGGGCTTAAAAAAAGGGAGAGAGAATCGTCGTCGCAAGACTTTGACATTTAAAGGGCTGGCGCCCTACGGCATCGGTTCAGGATGATCATTGAGACGTGCTCATCCATTAAGGCGACCTGAATTAGCACCGGATGTGCCGCTTATCGATAGCCCGGGCGGTCGATCGGTCGGTCGGTCGGCGCAAAAAGGACGGAACACGTGCGCGTGGCTCTCGCGCGAGTATCGATAGGTGGAGACGTGATCGACGTTCGTCTCGTCTCGCGGCGGCGTCGACGTCTATCGAGGTCTATCGAAGACACCCTCGGCTCCCTCGATAGAGCGCTCTCAGGCACCGGCGCGCATGCATCAGCATCCCCGCGCGCTGTGCATCACGGGTCAGCGACGGCGCGAGTCGCCGCCGGCGGTAAATATAGAAAGCCCGCGGGTGGGCTCCGGCCGGGTGAGAGAGGACACGGCGGTGACACGGAGGGAAGGCCGCTCGCTCGCTCGCTCTCTCTCTCTCTCTCTCCCGCCGGCTCTGCGTCGCGATAAGAAAGAAACGAGACTCGAGAGACTCGCGACGGCTCGCTGCATCGAGAGCTGCATCCGTTGGTGCGAAGCCGAGCGCCGCTCTCGGAGAGCGCGCGAATCCGGATCGCGAGCAGTCCCTTCTTCGACGCGTCTTCCGGGTAACTCTGCGTGGCGCTGAGAGAAGTAGAGGCGTGACACCTGACGAGGGTGCGCCGAGTGCGGTTTTTTCGCTCTCGTCGAATCTCTCCGTGGATGCTGGTGTGAAGTGCGAGGGAGAGGGAGAGAGAGAGAGAGAGACGTCGCTAATGAATCACCAACGCTCGGACGATGTCGCGATAAGGTCACGTCAAGTGCAGCCAACGGTGACTACCGCGGCCGCCCGATAAGGTCGCGGGTGGATGGAAGTGCAAAGTGCGAGACGAAAGTAAACGGGAAGTGGATTATCGAAAGCCGAGAGAGAGAGAGAGCGGAAATGTTGCGCCACAGCCAGTCCGTTTGAACGTTCCTCCCTCTCCCTCTCTCTCGACGAAGAGCACCTTTGTCTTCCGCCGAGAGGGACTTCGAGTTTCCCGAAATGCGGCTCGAATGCGAATTGAGCGAGAGGAGATATGAGAGATCAGCTCGCGCTTGGTAATTATAAACGGGTACGAAGACAATCTCGACGGCAAAGTGCGAACCCAGAGGGGGAGGAGATACTCGTCTCTCTCTCGTCATAGCCGGGGACTCGGATAAGGATCGCTTCCGAGGTGGACGCGAGCGGAGTCGGCCGGCGAATAATTGCGCTTTTGTTGACAATCTCAGAGCCGTACTCAACAGCGGCGTTTTCGAAGCGAGGCCTTCGGGGAGGAGGGTAATCGCGCCGATACGCTCGCCCTCGTGGGAAATCGTTATTCCGCCGTCGCCGGCCGCGAAAGCGACGATCGTCCTCGGCGGCCCCCATCGTCGAGCCCAGTGCCGACTCTAATTATCCAGCTGATCGCGTCGCCGTCATTGATCGAGCCTGACACGGCGACGAACGTCACCGACTCGTCGGACGCGTTGACTCGTGGCGAGCGCGCCAAGGATGGCCGATCTGCAGCGCAAGTATCGCTCGCTCGAGCGACGACGCGACCGTCCGCCGATGATGCCGGCGGTGCCGAGGCTGCCGGAGAGGGTGTTCTACCGGATCCTGGACGGCCCCGAGGACCAGCCCCGCGGCAAGAAGCACGTCAAGTTCCAGCTGCTCGGGGAAGAGGACGAGGAGACGCGCAAGAAGAGCATGCAGTATTTCGAGAGATCGCCCATACCCGCACGGTACCGCGCATCCGTCGCGTAGATCACGGGTCCTTCAACCCTTCGTCCTGCGATACCGTTTGTGATAATATCGAGGGGGGAGAGGGGGAAGAGATGTTCTCGATTTCATTCTATACGGATCAGAGGAAGATATATATTTCACATATTGGCTTAAACGGAATGTTTGTTTGGATGCGAACAAATGTTTGAGTTGTGATAACCGGAATTTGGTTCTCTGAACCCTTTTCATTTTCATTTCAGAGAATCAAACCTTTGGTTCTAACAAATGTTGATTCCTTCGCTGATATCCGAATAAGAATTTCGTTTGAATTAACGAAATGGGTTTCTCTGTGTATACGCTGGGAAAAGAAATTTAAATTTTGCGAAGTAAATGTTTCTCGCGACATTTTCCTCGATATTTATTGGTTGGAGAAAAATTTGACCGTGATAACGGAATATATATTTTTACACCTCAGTTTTCTTATTAATCGGTTGATTTACCGGGAATACAATTTTATTTCGCCGTGTTTAAATAAACGTTCATTCCTATGAAATAAACTTTCATATTTCACAAATAAATTTGTTTCTCGCAATGCATAGTGACTTCTGATGGCAATTGCAATCATTGACGTAATACATTCTGCACGGCAGTATCAATATTTTTCTCCTTAAATCCGCCGATGATCAATATACCTCTCCTCTTCTGGAGCCGATTACGCTAATTGATATGATAAGTTCTGTACGGTAGTTCAAATTGTCTTCCTTTCCTATACCTACCGCGCAATGAATACCTTTCCTCTCCTTTAGCCTGAATAGTGATTCTCAGTTTCTCACCCAAGGCCAAGTGCTTTTCTTCTAAAGGGTGGTAACCTAGTTTCACCCCTTAGAAGACGGAAGTTAGTCGCGACGACACGCTAGTTGGTGCGCGGCGCAATATCGTATATTGCGCCAAATCGATCAGAGCAATTGATTGCAGGGCACGGGCATAACGACATGATATACAATATTTAATAACGTTATGCAATGCGCCGCGTATGCATAATTAATCCGCGACGATGCTTGCAGATGCGCCAGCTGCATCGGGGAGTCCGCGCGCGCACAATGGTTCCGGCATTCCGACGGATGGCAGTCCGGCAGCTCGACCCTCGGCTCCGGCGCTTCAAGTTCGATAAATCCAGGATACTCGGGACACAAGAGAGACTCGCCCTGGGACTCTCTGCCGTCCCTGCGACACGAGGGCAGCCTCAACGACAGCGGCTACAAGTCCAACCGGACCGACTCTCTCGAACAAAGGTGAGGCGGTGAGGTGGAATCGTCAATCTGCGGCCTCCTGCGTGATTTGTCGCCTGAGAAGTCTCGCGATTTCGTTGTTGGTAGAACAACGGTGAACGACGGTCCTAAATTATGAGCGATTTGAAGGAAGAGAAAAATGACAAGTGTCGGTACTTTCAAGGAAAAAGTCAATATCTAGTGTTTTCGCAGTTACCAAAATTTGGAAATTTGTAACAATATTTTAGAATTTGCGGGAGGAAAATAAATAAATTTGCAAACATCTCTCGAAATAGCATACATTGATTAATTAATAATGCAATAATTGGCGAATGAGATGTTGCGGGTTTGGCAAATTTCCAAATTGGAAAATTGCGAGATTCCTAAATCGAGAAATGTTGAAATTTGCCCAGCCAGATCGCGATTATTATATATTCCGTTTCCGGATCATCGAGATTTCAATCAACGCCTGCGATTTCGGACCGTTCGCCACTTACAAGCAAAGAACACGTCGATATGTAACAATTAAGTCCGGTACCGTCGTACTTTCAATCGCGAAGCACAACGAAACTGACCAATCTCTTGGCCGAAGCCCTGAAAATTAAAGTAAAGAGAAAGAGGAAAAAAGATGCACAACTCTCTCTCGGCACAATGCGTACTTATAGGATACGCTCGGCATTCTTTTCGATTCTCGTGGATGACGTTCAGCCACCACCACCTACCTTTTGTCGTCCTACATCGTTCGCATTGTCTTCGGCACTTCCATTGTGCGCCCTCCCCCTTCCCACTTTTATCGCGACTGTTCTCTATGCCGTCGCGGTTCCGAAAAGATGGTTTTATTAACCCTCGTGCTTAACACATAACTCTCTCTCTCTTTCTCTCTCTATCTATCCCCCCCCCCCCTCTCTATTTCTCTCTTTCTCTTCATTATTAATGCCCGGCTTTGCCGAATCTCTACGAAAGTAATTCGACGAGAATTAACATTCTTACAGCGCACGCGATTATACGACAACCTCGTATAAATCGGCTTTGTCGCAAGTGAGAGAAGAAAAGAGAGAGAGAGAGAGAGGGGGAAAGATAGACAGACAGATAGATAAAGAGAGAGCGAGCGAGCGAGCGGTAATTGAAAGTCCGTTTTCGCGTAATTCTGACGAGCTGCGTTATTCAATTGTTCGTGTTGCATATTCCAGAGGTACTTTCGACAGACAGGACAGCGTCAGATCCGACTACATGTCCGACCGGGACAGCAAATACGGAATCGTTCAACAAGCCTCATTGGAGAGCACCGACTCGAGGCTCTGCTACTTGACGTCTTCCGAGGTGAGTTATCCAAGCACTTGTTGACCTTATCAACCTGATACACCCGAGTGCCACTCAACGCTGCCTTTGTAGCGCAGTTACACCCGCTGTGCACGTAGTGCGGCCGCGGGAGAGAGAGCTCGCTCGGATGTCTCGAGATGAATTTGCATGTCTCGAGCGTGCATCACGCGCTGATCGCTGGCGCCGGTCCGGATTCTACAGCGGGAATAATAACTATGCGAAACTATGTCGCGAATTATTAATGGAGATCGTTCTTCCTCCCCCCCCCCTTTCCTCCTTCTCTTTGTCTCTCTATCTCTCTATCTTCCCCTTGATCCACTCTCCAATACGGCTTAAATTCCACGCTACGAAATGAACGCTTAATCGCGCGATTAAGAATTGCGGACATCGTCGTGTTAAATATTAAATCTAATTACGAGCGATCTCTCTCTCTCTCTCTCTCTCTTTTTATCTTTCTCTCTGTGTCTCTCCGTCCTCCCCCGCCACCCTCTTTCTCCCTCCGATGTTAATTAAACGCGAGAATGGTAAGTGCATGGTAGACCGCGGAATGCGACTGCGAGTATTGATCTGATTGAAGTGCGGACTTCGCAAGACGCGTAACTAAAACGGGTTACGACGGGCGTAATTAAACGACGCGACATCAAGCTCGCTGGCTCGAAACGAAACGAGATTAAATCGGACGGGAAATGCGAACGGGAAATGCGGGGCACGCTGTTCTGCGTTTCGTCGTGTCTTGCCGTGACAATTTAGCGAAACGTCCGAATGCACTGAAAACCCATTCAGTTGGCTCAAACCAAGTTTGGTTCGGATATGGGCGAACATACGTTCTGGCTGTGAGAGCCAAAATTTGGCTCCCTGAACCAAAAGTTTGATTTCCTGAAAATGAAAGAGGTCTGGTTTGAAGCCAGTGAGCCTCTCTACTCAAATAAAATCTGGTTTGAACATAGGCGAACAGATGTTCTGGCTGCGAGAACGAAAATTTGATTCTCCGAGCCAAAGGTTTGGTTTTCCAAAGCGGAAATGTGAAAAAGGGTCTCGGCTTCAGAGAATCTAATTTTCGTTCTCACAATCAAAACATTTGTTCGCCCGTATCTGAACTAAATTTTTTGTTTGTCCCAATTAAATGGGTTTTTCAGTGTGGACATTTTTATTTCGGGACGCGCTTCCTCATAAATCGCAGAGTAGCCATGAGCGATGAACAATGCCGGGCTTTTTTTATTTTGTATGTTTATAATGAAAAGAGATATGGTATTTATATGAGTTTTGTTGCTGTCTAGTTTTCCTCCCCCCTCCTCTCTCTCTCTCACTCTCTCTCTCTCTCTCGACGCTGTGTTGCATGCGCGCACCATGCGAAACTTTTCACGAAACGTAAAGGCGCACACCCGCAGCAGTTGCCGCAGCACGGATACATTACTTTTAAAACCCTTTGAGGCGGATTCTCTTTCGCTCGCACTCACTCATCGTCCATTTGTGATTTAAAACAGCGAGGCAAGCGAACCGCCGTATTCGCGGAAAGCTCGAATCAATGAACGATAGCGGCGACTGGTCCCGGCGAGGGCTTTGAAACTCTCTCCCTCTCTCTCTCTCTCTTTCTCTCCTTCTCTCTCTGCCTGAAACCGCGAAGAATGAGAGCGCACTTTTGCATAAAACAATTTGCGGTTCGCCCCTTCGCTTTGATTCGCGTCTTACCTCGCATTGTGACTGCAACCGTCCCGGCGAGGAAAACCTCCGCAAAGCGATCGACCAACGCGCCCGTTGGGCGACGACGATATCGACAACGCGCGACCCTTTTCGTGCAATTTGCAATTCTTCCTCGTGCGCCGACCTAACCCGATTTTTAATCTCTCATATTTCTCTCAATCATTTCTACAGAGCTATTCAGAGCAGCGAAACTCACGCTCGTGCTAATCAGCCATCGTCGTCGATTACCTTTTTCCTTCCCTTTCGCCTCGCGTTCGCGGAACGAGGATTTTTGCATTTAATTCCTCAATCGCATGATTTTCCCGCGGCCACGCGACGTACAGTGGTGCCTAGACTCATACTTTCCGAAAAAATTATATTACTTCGGGAATAATAATTTATCAATTCAGACAGATGTAGTTTCGCATTGGCCACAGAGTTCTGCAAGAAAGAGCCAACTCGCAAAATTATGACTTTTTTTTACCGATATTTTGTTGACGAGTAGGTCTTTCTGTATAAAATAAAAAGGCTCAAATCTTATGGGCGTCTAAAATTAATTATAAAACAGTTTTTATTTTCTATTAGTCGCACCATTTTTTACTAATTCTGTCCTTTTCACCCATTTTTTTAAAGATTAAGCTTATCGATGGATGTACTTAGTGAGAAGAAAATGAACCATGCTTGACTTCTTGAACGATTGCGAAGAACCTCAATGCTATTTATACTTTTTAAATCATGTATCAAATATTCATCTTCATTTTCTCGTAACGTACTCAATGTGGGTTGAATCTTTCTTGCGTAATGGTCAATTATTATTCAATGCCTGTCACGAAATTTCATTTCAGCAAAATCCGACATGTATAGCCGATTTTTCTTATTGTACCACAACCGGGTAAATTATAATTATTAATAACAATCGAATAACATCTGTAAATATATATCTATATTCATGTGACGTGTGATGAAAGATGCATGAGAGTACAAGGTACATTGGAATAAATATTTGAAATGCTCACGATAGCGCAAATATGCTCAGGATGCTCATGGATATTAACGTCACTCCAAATTAGAAAGATTACTTTATATTCTGTACGAGAAATATATTTTAGAGAGGTTTGGATAACAAAGAAATACTCTGTCCAAACTATATCTTATTTACTTAACACCAAATATTTTCGGAGCGGTCAAATACAATTAACAATAATTGATTTATCGTTTCTTGAGAACGATAAGAAGTTAGTTTGAATCGTTATAGCGAATACAGTTACAATATACATCGGCCAATATGCAAAGAACACGTTCGAAACGGATATTTAATTAATTATACTTTTAAAGACTTTATTTTACGCCACAAAATACCAAGAGGATAAGTAAAAGTAAGAAAGGAAAAAGAAAGATCACTCCGTACATAACAGATTCCTTGAGCTTTACTTTTTACAGCGAAACAGAATTAAACATTGTAACATCGAACCAGTCGTTTCTTCCTCGCCGGCGCCACTGCGTGACGCGATATCGAACAACGGCGATCTTACTCGCGTGTATGCACGCACGACATGCCGCGGAAGCGGTTCTCGGCCCCTAACAGTTACGAGAAATTGCGCAACTCTCACCCCCGTTCGCTCCCCCACCCCCTTCTGCCCTTCCACGTAATCGTAACGGCGGGGCAGCACAAATTGCACTGACGCATCGGCCACGCCTACGGTGTAACGACACGGTTGCAAAAGAGGCCAGCGCGAAAGGAGGAAACGAAAGTGTACACGTACACATGTCGATAATCGCGAGAGGCGACGGTCCCGCTCGCGGACATTTTCCGGGCGGAAGGCGCGCGCGCGCGTGAAACCCTCTCCTTCTCTTTCTCCGCGCGACGGTCCGCCGAGACAAATTGAAAACGAAGGAGGACTCGAATTTCCGTGCTCGTGCGGACGTGCTCCGCGGCTCCTCGCCGCGCGGTACTTCAGCCCGACGTTTGCGAGCAAAGGGGAGCGCGGAAAACGCCGTTATCCCGAGGTGCTATTGGCCGCACACAATCCTCCTTCGCGAAGAAAATCTATGCCCGGAAAGCCCGGGGGGATATAAATCCCGAAAGCGGTCTCTTTCTTTCCCTCTGTCTCTCCGCCGTGTGAACTCCCTTGTTCTTCTTTAAAATCTATCTCGCCCGGATTAGGGTGGAGGACGCGGTCGACAAACATCGATAACCTACTGACCCTGCGTCGGTCGCGAGCCGCTCGAGCCCGTCGCTACTCCAACCCCTTTCGGAGTAAGCACCCCGTTGTCTCGGTTGTTTTGCTGCGCGGATGGACGCGCGCCGGTGTGTGTTAAACGTGCGTGTGTTGATCCAGCGCGGAATGGATGGCGGGG